AAATGTATTGCTCCACTGAAAATATTCATTGTGTTTGGTTTTAACAAATCCAGAAATACATATCTATGTAAAGGTCTTTTTTTTTAAAGGCTTTTATTCAAGCTTTGCCAACTCTATGGTTCTTCAACACTGATCTGCTTAATATTTATTTAATCTGTTTGTTTCACAGCAGCAAAATTCCTACAGTTATGTAGACAGATTGCACGTGGCAAAGGAAAATCTGCACACTATAGAAATGCAGTTTTATTTTCAATGCTCTGGAGACACAGACAAAAATCTACGAAAGACCGTTTTAGTTGCAGAAAACAAGATTTTATCCTCAAGTCAGTAAGATCTCTAAAATAGCACTTTGTTTCCCATAACTTATATGGGAGAGATTAAAAACACTCTGGAATCTGATCTGGGAGGGCAAACTATGTAAAGGGCTAAATATGAAAACTGTTACTTCCAAAATACTATTGCTCCAAAATAATGGGAAATTTAAATGGCAGCTCTTTGGTCAGCAACATTGAAGTGTTTCTGCAGCCTGCTTATCACCAAATGCAGGACCTTATTTTCGTCCCGTTGAAGCGAACGGCAGCCCCTGATCACGGGAAATTTACTCTGTGAAACTTCCAGAGGCCTCACTGGACTAGGTTAACCTTTGGGCTGTTCAGTTTTTATATACTTGACAACGGTGCCACGCCCCGGTGACTTTTATCTCCACGACAGCACATTTCTCTACATGAGGTTTGGCTGCTAAACCCCACTTCCTCCTCAACAAGGTGGAAAATTGTAGCCCTGCCAACTGGGCAAGAGGAGAGGATGTCCAGATCATGTGCTTGGGTTGATCTGTGGAAAGTAAGAATGGAATTTACCTTCTTGTGAACTTCAATTCAAAACAAAAAAGCTAGTCAGACCATCCTTAGGATATTCCCAAATGATCACGAATTGCAGAAAACTGTAACTTGGCGCTGGTTCTTTGATGTTTCCAAAAACCATGCATTTTCTCTCGGGAAGATCTAGAAGAAAAACATGTTTTCCATTTACAAGGTTATCATCCCAGTCTCTTGAGGGGGGGTTCAAAATAAATTAAAAACAAGCCCGTATCAATGTGTGTTAGGCTTCATCTCGGAGGTATAACTTTTGTAGTTGACTTGTGATATACTTACCTAGCAGATTTTAATGGTGCTAACTCTAACTCCAGTTATATCCCCAGGAGTAGTGGGATCCTCTTGGAAATCTTCCTCTTCCTCTATCCATTTTAAGTAGATAATTAGCAAAGCAACTAATTCTGAGAGAAAACTTCTTTAACTGATAACCTAAATAGGATTAGCATTCAGTGGCAATTCTTCAGAGACTTTTAAATAATTGTTACATTTTTATTGGATGTTAAACACCCCTAAAAGTCCCCCCCCCTTAAATTGGAATTAATTTTGTTTGTTGTTTCCTCTTTCATAGTTGTTACAACAAACAAATGATATGATGAAAGAAAATGAAAATGATATGGACCTAACTTTGTTGCAGAGGTAGAGCAGAAAAAGAAAATGTTTAATAGCAAATCTATGCTGCCGTTTTCCCCCATGTAAGAAAAGCTCATAAGTCCATGGCCTGGATTTGTCTCTCATGCTTCGCTAATATCTGTACTGCCTTCCTCATTTGCCTGTTTACACATTCTTTGAACCAGACAGGTAGTTTCCATTTCTTTATTACAAATCTCCAAAGATTTATAGCTATAAACCCAAATAACTAAACGCTACTGTTAGCTTTTCTCACAGAGATGCATTAAGCATGGCAGTTTGAGCCATGTTCCATATGTTCTGCCGCATCCTTTGGTGGAGTCAGAATTTCTGAAGTGAAGCCTACAGATCTAATTTTACACAGCGAATATTTTGCCATATGTCTTGCCTTAGGCAAGAATCAGTTCAAAGAGCCTACACCAGAATTACATGCGACGGTTAATCTTGCAAAATTTACTTCTCTCCTTTTAAATTATGCGATAGAAGCATTCCCAATGTTGCAACAGCCATTGCTTTAACCTAGCTATTAGTACGATTAAAACAGACTAAAAGTTCAGCTCTCTTACACAAGTGTCATGTTGGCTCTCCAAACGCCTGTCCTCTATTTTACTTTCTATTCTCTTTGTACTTTCAAGAGATGCTCGATTGCTTTTACAGAGAGTTCCTCCCTGCGGACAAGTAGGAGGCTCTGCAGAATCCGTACATCCCTATTCTGCGTGCCATTTGTCAATTCAGCAGCAACAATGGAACAAAAGGATTTCAGTCTCGAAGAACGATACAGGATTAAGACTACTTACTAGGGAACAATTCCCATTGAATTCCATTGGGTTTACTTCTGATTATGCTTAACAACTGCACAGCACATCATAACAAAGGTTTTAAAGGACAGTGTGTCTGTTCAATGACTAATATTGCTGGTTCCATGTGTAGGATTAGATTCACCTAAGATACCCTGAAGTCAAAAACTCATCTTGGAAACAAAACTAAATAGGTAAGTAAATAAATGAACAGATAAATAAATACCATAATAATAAATAAATATATAAAAAGATACGGAAAACACTAGAGTTGCAAATGGAAGTGATCTAACTTCCAAAAATATCCTAGAATCAAGCACAGCACTAAACCTTGAAATCCCACCTACCCAATTCTTTAAAAGTAGGTTTTTTTAAAAATCTGAGATATTAAATCTTTGCTGACATTTTCAAATCTCCCTCTTACTCCAATATGCATTTGTATCTGTCCAATCAAATGCTGAATCTTCTGCAACAGACACAGCAAAAGGAAAATATACAGACAATTCTGCATCTATATATTTCCTATATATTTTTCTGAAGCCAAAAAAAAAAAAAATCACAACTCTCAATAGTTTTCGTTTTCTCTTTTCCTATTATGACAAGTTAGGTGGCCTCTTTTTATTGCTTTGAATTAACTGTGATATTAGTGAGAATACTGATTGATTTCACAAACAATACACATTCATAATTTTTTTATCTTCATGAGCTCAACTTTTTACTCTGAACCATGTCTTATCAATCATTTGTAAAACCTAATTAGTATAACTTTTGTTGTTTTATTATGTCAGTCCCCCAGTGATCTGTAAGAACAGAGGAATTTACCCAAAATAAAACCTGCTAACCATCCCCCCCCACCCCCGCTTACAAATGGCAGCCATTTAGAATTGTTGGCAAGGTTATTTGTCTTCTGTCTGTCTTTCTTTTTTAAAGATTAAACTACAAACTTCAGTTTAGTGCTGCCAGCCCATCAGCTATAATTGAGGTCCTCAAAACCAACATTTGAAAATCCAAATCTGAAATGAACTGAAACAGCAGGTACAACACATACTTACATAATCTTAAATAAGGCTTAATATACCTATTAAATTAGGATTGTTAAAACAATAGTGTTTACCAAAAAAAAAAAAAATAACCCACCCAGAACCAAAATAAATATACTTTGACAATTTAAGGCAACCTGCACCAGCCACCCCAAATGGGTTCCACCACAAATGCGCGTACGAGAAAAGCACGTGTGACTAAAGCGCGGTGACAAAACCGCGCCGTCAAAACCGCGGAGACGAATGAGCGCTGAAGCGCGCCGACAACAGCGCGCCGACAGAAGCGCGCTGTAACATAACCCTAAAAATAACCCTAAACCTAACCCTAAACCTTACCCTAACCCTAACCCTAACCCTAACCCTAACCCTAAACCTAACCCTAAACCTAACCCTAAACCTTACCTTAAATTAAATCGCGCTTCTTTCGGCAGGCTGTTGTCGGCGCGCTTTTGACATCGCGGTTTTAGCGCCGCGGTTTTGTCGG